GTCTCATTTACTGAAATTTGTTCGAGGTGAACAGATGAGTAAATGAATGATTTCCAGGGTCCTGGAGCAGGCTCAGACCCTGGCCCTGGTTTCCGGGGGGCCAAGACCGTCAGGGAGGCTGGCAGCAGCACGAGGATGCTGGCCACATGGTCAGGACAGAGGGTGTAGGACAGTGGAGGGCAGCGTCCTTCCCCACGGGGCGGAGTGGGTGGAGGACGTGGAGGGGCACTGAGCGGTGACCATGTGCAGGGTGGCAGGGACGGTGCAGTCATGTGGGCCACGTGTGGTGACCTTCTCGGGGACCTTCACGCCTGATCTCACACCGCGCTGTTTCCTTCCCCCACCTATCAGCCATTTTCCCCACTTTGTGCTCTGCAACTTTCCTCCCTTCCCGACAGATTTCTCTACTAAATTTGACTTTGTTTCAACAGTTTTGTTGGGCAAATTACATTAAGATGGATGTTGCAGGTACTCTTTATGGTTTATTTATTGTGATACTGTTTGTATCTCACACTTATAAATAACTTATGTTATAGCTTTTGTTTGTGGAAATGTAACTTACATATTTTATTACGCTTTCTGTAAACCTCAAAAAGAATCTTGTCAAGGAAGCGCTCTTATCAGCAATCCAAACTATGGGACGTAAAAACCAACACTAACATTATTTTTTAATATGCCAAGGAGGCAGGTTACGCTTGCTGTAGTTGGAAAGGTTTGCTGTCATCGTAAACTTGCACCTCAATAAAACATTAAAAAGTCTCAAGAACGATTTTATAAAGTTCAGAGAGGAGGTGGCAGAACCCACAGACACAAAACAAAGGGCCCAGGTACTGGATTGACCTTTTGCTGGGAGTCCCATGATGTGGGGTTCCCTAAAGGTTCTATGTCCACCCCTCCTACCCAACTATTCTGCAGTCCAGTAGTGAAAGAATTAGGTCTAGGGACTAGAGTGGAAAAGAAATCTAGTTCTGGAATCAGGTAGACTGGATGTTGGATCTTGGCTTGGTCGCTTTCTAGCTATGTGGTGTTGAGTCAGTATTCAGCCTCAGTTTTCTCATCTCTAAAATGGGGTAATCATGCTCAGCATTCTTTGTTGTTGAGGATATTTATTTATTTAAAAGAGAAAAGAAAACAAAATAACAACAAAGATAAAAACAAAACAACACAAAAACAATAAAATTGATACAGAATTTCAAAACAAGATAGGAAATCAACAATAGTTGTTATGTTATATATTGTTATGTTCCAGGAACTTGCTCAGATAACCCGATGTAAGAATGCAAGATTGATCAAACAATTGAAGAGAATAAAAAGGAATTTAAAAAAACAGTAGAAATGATACAGTTTCACTAATCAGGATAGTGGAAATTCAGCAATGGTTGTTACATTGCATACCGTTGTCTTCACAGTCGTTGTTCAGATTACCAGATATAGGCATGTAAAACAACACTGAGATTCCATCTCACCCCAGGAAAAATGGCCATCACCAAGAAGTCAACCAATAACAAATGCTGGAGGGGCTGTGGGGAAAAGCGAACACTTTTTGACTGCTGGTGGGTGAGGACTGGGAGTGTGGACTGGCATCTCCTCGGCGTTCTCAGCGGGGAGCACGGATGGTGATGTACAAGGCTGTGTGTGCTCCATGACGACAGTGGGCCTACTTATTTTATGTTTGCTTTGAAACTTTCTCCCTTTCTACTCAAGTCTGCTCTGCTCTCTTGTATCGCAGCGGTGAGAACCCAGGACCGGGCTGAGGTAGGCCAATGCTCCACCTGAGTTTCCGCTCCAGCCCTGTCCTTCTCAGCACTCCTTTTGGTTCCTTCGCCAAGTGTGCTTTCAAATGCCACCTTTCCCAAACTTCCAACTGCCTTCAATGCCCAATCTCTTTCTCCAATTTCTCTCACCAAACCGACCCATTCTTTGTTTTCACGCTCAGTTCTGCTGGCAGTTGGCTAATTTGTTCACTTACCTTAGCTAATGGCCACACGCCAGTCCAGGTTTGCATTCTGAAAGGGGCCTCCACTACTCTCACCTCAAGACACATTGTGGGGTTGCCAAGGGCAATGGAAGGGAGTCTAGGGGGCCAAGGGGGCCTTTCTGAGCCCCTCAGTTCATCACACATAGTGCAGGGATCCTATATTCCTCAGACCAATCCTAGAGAATTGGTGACAAGACAGCAGAGAAAAAGAGAAACATCTAGAACACAGGATACAGCTTCCTCAGGACCAGGTTCTGGAGTCAGTGTTGAAGTAAAAGCTTGACCCAAGTCAAGGGACCTTCAAACTGCTTCCTGCTTGAGCACTGGCTGGAGCAGCTGGCTTGACTTAGAGCCCTATATTGTGTGAAGAACCACGTCTGTACATTAGAACCCCGCGGGAAGGATGAGGCCTGCACACATGGCCGCGTCCTCCCTCTAGGCGTGCGTTTGTGAAGTGGCTGCCTTGTGGAGTTGCCCGTCCCATTTACTTGGTCCTCTTGCTGAACCTGAGTAAGATGTATGTGTAACCCGGTTAGCCCATACTGCAGTAACTGTACTAGTTGGTTTTTGTGTACCCTCCACAGGGTCAGGTGTGGCCTTAGGTGCTTGCTTTAGTCTTGGGGTAGAAGGTCCTTGCAGAGACCACTTCCACATGGATGAATAGTCTTTGCTTGAGTCCTTACTGTCCCCCATCCATCCGGGCAGACTCTCCAGGCTTGGGTGAGCGAGGAAATAGTCCAAACCAGGTTCTCATCAGTTGTGGGAGGAACGTGCAGAATAATGTGATCCATAAACACTCAGCTTCCCTGCTTTCTTCTCCTCCTTTTGGAAAGACTCAGAACAGAATATAGCCCGCTAAGAAAAACCAAGATTCTATTCCCAGTTTTAAGGGAGAAACCTGTCACCTAAACTCAACCTGTCTAGAAAGGGCCAGGTGAGATTGTGGCAGTCAGCCTTCCAGGGAGCCTCGCCTCCTGGTAGCCACAGTCTTTGTAACCCTTTCCCTTGAGTGTGGGCTGGACCAGGTGATTTCCCTCTACTGCACAGAATGCAGCAAAAGGGATGGGCACCCTTCGGAGATCTGTTGTAAAAGACTGGCTTCCAGACACAGCACTTTCTCTGGCTCTTATCTGATGAAGTAAGATGCCATGCTGACCTCTCTACGCAGAGGCCCACGTGACAAGGAACTGAGGCAAAGGTCCAGGAGAAAGTGACTCCTGCTAACCACAAGTAAGCCAGGATGTGGGTCTTCCCACTGGGGCATGGAGCGGATCAACCTCTGATCAGCGAGTCCGATGGGCCTGTGAGAGACCCTGAATAAGGGCACTCATTCATGCATTCCTGACCGATAATAAACATTGTTTTAAGCCACTGAGTTTTGGGGTGATTTGTTATGCAACAGTAGAGTTCTGAGAAACAAATGGAAATGGACCTAAGAACTAACTAGTTTCAATTTACAACTGAAAGAGGCCAGGAACTCCTGTAAGGTGAGACGGATCTCGGTTCAGATTCTACCTATGTGGCTTATATAAATTATGAGGCATCTTTGCACCTGGTCTCCTCATCTGCACAATGGGACGTGGCAGAGTTGTTGTCTGGCCTCGGCGTGCCGTCTCTTGGGCTGCTCTGTAAGTCCAGCACCGTGAGCAGGCCCTGCAGAAGCCAGCAGCGGGCAGGCTGGCCAGTCATTCTCTAGTAGCTCTCCAAGGCCAAGGCTCCTGGACCTACCCTGGCTGCTGTGAAACCCCAGGTGACCTCTGGCTGTGTGGCAAGAACTGAGTGCACCTTGGCATTTTCTTGTGAACACTGTAATGCAAACAGCTTGCTTTTAGATCTTAGACATCTGTAAAGAAAACAGTGCCAGAATGGGATAAGCCTTCCATGACACCTTTTTGTGGGAGGGAGGACTACAGCTCCCCAGAAATAGAAATTCTTCTTAAACTTCTCTAAACAGCTGTTGTTTTTGAGAAGGTTCAACACTTGCCTTTTTAAGGAAAATATTTCCTAATAAAATATGGAGCAAGGCCATTGCTTATTCACTAAATACTACAAACAATCCCATCTGTGACAGCTTTCCCTGATTTCCTTCGCACCTGAAAGGCAAACATTTAGAGATAAACTTGGGTGGCTCTGCTTTTGTATGACAAGCTTGTTGTAAAGCTCAACCATCAAGGAATGTTTCAAGACTACTCTGAAAAGTGAGGTTAGAACAGGAACCTGTGGACTTGCTTGTTCAACAATAAGGCCAGCCTTTCATGTCTTACCAGGAATAAAGGGGAGAATATTGATTATAAGCCTGAACCATGAAGGCAGAACAGTGATACAAAAAACATTTGACAGTGGCAATCACAAATTAATGGCCTATTTATAGTGTATCACAAACTGTAAAGGCCTTCATTTTCTAGGTTTGGATTGAGTCACAATCCCAATAATAATAGGAGCTTTTTGGAGGAATGGAAACCAGCTCTTCTTTGTTCTTTGACAACCTAAACTTAGCACCTGCACTGCTTTGGGTGGTCCAAAAAAGCAGAGCCACTCAAATACGCTATTTTAATTGGGTATTAAAAATTAAAACAGAAAAAAAAAAATTAAAACAGAACGAGAAGGACTGAATGCTGTCAGACCCAGAACTTCCTACAGGGGCTATGAGACTTCTGAAGAACTCTCTCCGTAGGCAGTAATTGCACAGCTTAATTCTTCTAGACTGAACCACTTCAGATTTATGCCAGTGCAAAGCAAACGTTGTTTGTAAGTCATTTAATTGTGTTACTGTCTCTCAACTTTATCAGATGCTGCTGAGGCCAAGAGGCCTGCGTGCAGTCCTGTGGGAGACTCTGCAGGACTCCCAGGCTTGTTCTAAATGCCCACAGCCCACAGCCCCTACCATAGGATCTTCCAGATGCAGAATCCACGACTCACATAATGAATTCAAGTGGCATTTGTCTCAATCCAAGATCCATGCTGAAGGCTTCATCTCCAACAAAGTGACAACCGTGACTGCAGACCATGAACTAGTACACACTTAGGTGCAAACCAAGTTTATTATGTTCTTTGGTTAAATGTTATTTCCACATACTTTCAGAGCATTAGGAGAACCGAGATAATGTTCTCTGATAGACTGAAAACACGTTTTGCTTTTTCAAAACAAAGACTGACTATGTTACTTGTGCACTATTATAAATTTTTACAATTAGGCCAGACTTATAAAAAGGTAGGGCTTTTGTTTGTTTTGAAAAATAGATTCCCCTGGGCTAGCCCGCATCAGTGTGTTGGACCCAGCCTTCCGAGAGTCTCTGGATAAAGGCTGCTCGGCAGGGGGTCAGGAGAGTCAGGTCAGCTCATCATGTCCAGGCTACACAGTTCGGGGTGGTTGTCACTGCGCAAGGCCTCTGCCACATCTCTTCTGAAGACGGAGAGGTTCTGGGTGAACCTGAGGAAACAGGAAGCGGTAAGCGGTGAACGGTAAGTGTGGACCTCTGGACGAGAGGCCACTGCAGCATTCAGGATCCTGCAGGGAGCTGCTCCTGAAGGCAGGCTCCAGAGTGCTGTGAGCGTCCTCCTCTCCACATCCCACCTTGGCTGTCCTGCTGCCAGCACAGCCCCCAACCCTCCTCAGAAGACAAGGTTACCACCAAATCCACTCTAACCATGTCTGAGTGTGAGGTGCATTTTGTGGTTCTACTATTTAAAATTTTTTTTTAAAAAGTCGAAGTGCACATGGATGGTAAGGAATAGAAGAAGAAGAACCAAAGTTTATGTGTCAAACACTGGATTGAGTTTATATATACACTCATTTAATTATCATGAATCTTCCCAAAGGTTGGTATTAGTGTATTCACCTTACAGCTGAAAAACTGAATTAATGGTTAAACAAGATGGGGCACTGGTTATGACTACCTGGTGGGCTGAAATCCTAACTCCTTCTCTTATTTGCTAGGTGATCCTGGTGGCTAATGCGAGTAGCTACCTCATAGGACTTCAGGTGACAATTCATTGCGACAGTTGAGACTGCACCTGTAGATGCTCAATAAAGTACCTGGTGCAAGGAAAACACTCAGTCCTTGTGGGCTGTTACTCCTGAACTAGGGAAGGCTGCTACACCATTTCAGTGAGCAGCTCAGGAGCGTCTCCCAAATTTCCAAGTCCTAGGTGAAATAGTTTCCCTAGGCACCTGGCAGTTCCCCATTTATCCAGTTATCTTTCTAGCTGACTCTTTCTGATAGAGGATCTTAGAATAAAATGTATAGCCAAGGGAACATGTCTGCATATCCTTCCTGACTGGGCCTTGTGTTACTAACACCTTGGCTGGTAACTCCAGTGTATACTGCAGACTGAGATGATGAAATACATTTCAAATGGCACAACAGTGAAATGCTACCACACTTATGAAAGGACAGTGCAGGCAGCTTTTTCCTGAATACATTTTGTCTGTCATTCATTATTGTCCATCTCCTCCACTAGAATGTAAACTCTGTGAGGCTGAGAACCTGGACCAACTGGTTTACCCTAAGTACGTCAATGCCTGCACACAGTACTCTCAATAAAGTCTGGTGGACTAAATGAATTTATTTATTTATTTATTTATTTACAGGCAAAGGAAGGAACTAATACTTACTGTAGGCCACGAGTCTGATGCAGCATGTGTTACCACCCTGTCACTCAAACCTCACAACTATCAGCGCCTGCATTTTACTGCTGAGGAAACTGAGGACTATTTCTCACTTAACTGCCTTTCTGCCATACAGCTTACAAAGGGCAGGGATAAAATTTAACTGTAGCCTGCCTGTCCTCAAAGCCTGTGCTTGTTCAAACGCTGGAAGACTTTACTCATCACTCAGGACAGAGCTTCTCTTCTCTTCTTCAGATTTTTCCAATTACAGTTCTTTCTCATATCTCTCTTGTTTAAGGGCAAAGGCTGGATTATACTAATTTCTGCATCTGTGTAGTGCCTAGCATTTTTGTTTGGGAGAAAGCAAATACCCAGGAGTATGTCTTGAATGGAAATGAGTTGGTTTAGCATCACAAGGTGTAAGAGAGAAGCACATTAATACATGAGCTGTGTTAAGCACATTCTAATTGCTTTCACAAACCTGAAATGTCTGCCTTCCCCAGAGAGGCCCAACTAGGCAATGCTCACCTGTCTCTGTTCTTGATGGACAGGTTCTGCTCCACTCCTTCCATCAAGTTCCTGAAGCACTGGGCAAGAACCTCCTGCTTAGGGAGAGGTTGGCTGTTTATCAGACTTGCTCTCAGTTCACTGAAATACTGTTGGGGGACAGAACCATGTCAGGGCGCTGGCTCCAAACCTCACTTGAAGAAAGCTCTGTGGAGAGGGCTACATGAACTCTGAGCTACTCTGGGCTCACCAATATTCACAGGAGTTTTTATCTAGGTCCATACTGAACTTGAAGCCCTTAGAGAAAATCTAAGCCACAGAGACATTCTTAAGTACAAAGCTGTATTACCCTTTCTCATAAAAACCTCTTGCTGTAATTGTTCCACTGTCATTCCTTACGCGATGGAGGCCTTGTCCCCTCTGTGGGGGACTGAACCCATGGTCTTCCTGAATCTCATCTCCACTTAGCACAGAAAGGCTGAATGAGGAAGAGCCCCAGCCTGACGGGAAGAACTGAAGATGCCCAGGGAGCACTTGGGTGACTGAAGGCAAGGCCAAGGGTCTCCCTGTAGGCATCATCATCTTTCCTGGCTTCAGTGAATCACGCTCAAACAACTCTGGGCTGTGTTCCAAGTCTGTCCTCGTGGGTTAGAACGGGTCCTCCCTGCTGAGGCAGGGTACTAGAGGGGCTTGCTTGGTTCTGGGAGAGCTTGCCGGCGCTAAGAAAAATATCTGTCATACCTGGTCACAAATAACTGCACAGCCCCTTCTCTGCGGAGGTCTGTGGGCTTCTATACAAACACAAGCTCTGGTGCTAAACACAATTCCTAATCATCGGAAACAGCCTAATTTCAGCACAGAGGCAACGTTTTGCCAGGCATGTGTTTATCCCTCCAAGCCCAAGTAGCATGATATTTAATTTCCATCACACATTAAAACAGCTCACATCAAAAACACACATAATTAATATGTAGTCAGACTAATACTTAAATACTATATATCAGAGGCATTACACTTAAACTGCAATGTCTTCCTGAACAAGATCGGGAATGCACAAAACTACTTATTTTTCCCTTTTATAATGATGCAGTGACTCACACCAAATAGAAAATTATTAGTTTTTCATCCCAAACCATGAAATATTGCCTCCATCAGTAAAGTATAATATTGTGATGTCATAAGCTTTTTCTAAACACTGAATTTGCCCTTATTCCCTCTCAATCATTTTAAAAGAACTGCTCTCTTTTATAGAGCTTGGATTTAAATCACAATAACACCGAGGGAAGATGAATGACAGTGCTATTGAATGTGGCTAAAATTGGATACTTCAGCACAGGTGAATGATGAGACAGCTCTTCTTTTTTTGATACATTTTCTTCTTCTATTAGTTTCCTTCCAAGCCTGGGATTTTAGTTTGAATTTTAATGTATGCAGCTGCCTCTTATCTCACTGTCTTTTTCCCCAGTACTATCTTATTGTACAGACAATTCATTCTCCCGGGCAGTAATGCACTGTTCCTACTGACTACTAGGGAGGCAGGGTGGGTTCAAAGGAAGCTGGTGAGGCCTGGGAGACAGCCCAGGGTGGCAAGTCCACTTATGAAGCTGGATATGTGTGTCCCCAGATGAAGGGCACTGGCACAAGTCCCTGGAGGGCCAGTGCTGCCCCCATCCAAGGCAGCAGGGATCCAAAAAAATGAAAGGAGGCCCAAGGAGGCGGCCAAAGGGGTTGTTACTGAGAATTTCTCTGGAGTACGGGGAGGAAAGTGAGGGTGACCCTGAAGCACTAGTGGGCAACTTTGCTGGGTTCCAGAAGAGCTGGGCTGGAGGGCTTTGAAGGAGAATTGAGAGCGCCAGGCAAGAGCCTTCTGGACAACATGGCCTTGCTATGGCGCTGTCAAAGTCCCAGCTCAAACTCAGGTGGCTTTGGGCCTCGGTCCTTCATCGTTACAGCTCAGCTGGTGTGCCACTTCTCTACTTCCCGTGGGCCTTTCTGTAACTACACTCACCTTCTCATTGAGGAGGATGAGCCCCAGGAGAGGCCTCGATACCGACCACTGGTTTCTACAGTCTTCGAAGACAATGGTGTTCATGAGGACGGACATCATCTGGAAGAGAGTCACGTGAACATTGGAATGCCTTGGCTCACAGCTCCCCTGCGTTCCAGGCCTTTTATGTGCCAATCTTCCAATCCCTCTATCTTGCTAACAGCCAGGGGGACAATTTCTATATAGATAGCTTTGGGTATGGAAGTCTAGAAAACTGCCTGTACGAATTCTTGGCAGACTCCCAGCTCCCTGAGGAAGTCTCCACCACTGAAAGCTTGGAAAGAATCTTCTGTGTGAGCGTAAGTCAGAGATCACAGAACCAAGAGGACCCGTCGCTGCTTCCTAATACTCAGGTGCTTTCCTGCATGCTAGAGCACAAGGCAAAGGCCCAGCTCGCCTTCCTTCTGCCTCTCACTTTGACTATGAGGACATGTCATGGATAGGCAGCATCGCTCCACAGCCTCTCTGAGAGAGAGTGGAGTGGGATACATTCCTCCTTACCTGGAATTTGTTTCCTGCTACCTCTGTTATTCTTCATTCACTAATTCACTCACTCATCCATTCTCTCCTCCATACATGCACATGCTCATCCACTGCCCTCAATTAAAAATGCATGACACATAGGGGATACAAGAGAACACAGGCATGTATCACAGCCTCAGTGACTAAGAAGCTTGAAACCTCCTAGGAAAGATCACCTGGAAGAGAACAGCAAACAGCCTGGAAAAGTACTGTGGGCACTGAATCCTTAGAGTCGTCAGAGAGTCCACAGAGAAGGTAGCTTTCAAGGAGTTCATCATAGATGTGTTCTCAGCAGGAGGGTGGTCAATGAACATAATGGGTTCTGCAGTGGTAAGGAACTTGGGGTGGCATGAAAAGCAGAGAGGCAAGCCAGAACCCCAGGACCAGGCTAGAAGGGGGTGAGGGAGCCACTGATGGGCTTGTGGCCAAGGTGAGACACAGTCAGATCTGCACCTAAGAAAGATTCTCGGGATACATGCAGAGTGCGCTCTGTGCAGATGAGACTATGAGAGAGATGTGAGATGCTGCTGCTGCTACCATAGTCCAGGAAAGGGGTTGCGAAGCACGTTTTGGTCATTACCTGGAGTTGAGGATACAGTTTCTGCCTCATAGACTCTACCTCCCCCTGCAGCCTTCCTGTTCCCACAGTCCCAGAGCTCTTTTTCTCAAAGGCAGAAGAAATGGTAATTATGTGGTGAAGACCACCCGACATCACCCCAAATGGGCTTTGGTGACTTGGCTTCCTTTGAACATATTTGGTTGTGTCTGCTGGCATTTTTTTTTTTTTTTTTTTCGTTTGGCAATCCAATTTACCCCATGATCTCTGGCAGGTTACTGAACCTCTCTCCCTCTGTTTCAGTTGCATTAAAGAGAGAAATAATAATCCAGCACACAGAAACTCTGAGAATCCAAGGAGATGGTATCTATAAAGAGGTCTGCAAATAGGAAAAAGTGCTACAAACACTGGAGGTGTATAGTAAGAGTAGTGAGTGTCTCTGCAGCTCTAAAGATCTCCTGTTCCCTTCACCATCATCATCATCATCATCATCATCATCATCATCATCATCATCATCATCAGGCTGGCTGCAAATGAAATGTGGAAATTCTGTATTTGTTGTATGTCCAGTTTCCCTGGAAAGAGGCTAGGTCTTAAGCTTGGCATTCTGAACATCATTTGCAGATAATGTTTCCAAATATAATCTAACAAGCAAAGCGTAGTCATAGAGTCACAAATTAAATTGACAAGAAAAACTAACAGATCCACGGAGACAGTCTAAAATATTATGGGCTTCACAGTCTGAAGGCAGAATGGATATTTTAATGGAGAAGATTAAAGTTAGAGGTACCAAATTCCTCTAGTAACTGACAAAGCATCCTGAAGTGATGTGCCAATTACTTTATATGGTCCTCTCGTGTATTCATTTGTCTGAATGCATGTATTTATGTCTGTAATAAGTAAGGAGATGTTTGAATAAAATACTTTTCTAAAAATAAAGTTGGCTAAAATGGATGAGTTTTTGCCTCCCCCCCTTTTCAGAATATGTAAAGTAGTGAGCAATCTGCTTAAATGACATTGACATGGCAGCCCATTTTCAGAATTATTTTTCTAACTGTCTTTGAATAGGGTGTATGGGGGGAAAACAGCCCAACGAATGGATCAAGTTTGTCTGGAATCTGTGTTCTCTCATCTCCCTGGACAACAGAGCCTCCTGAGTGCAATGGTGACGCGCAGAGTCTCTTCACACGTAGTGTGAAGGCTCGGCAGGTAGCTCCTACTGTGCACAAGTGAGCACTGAATGAATGGTGCTCCAGGCAGCTCTGCACCCCTTAGCCAGCAGTGTGCTACCAGACACCATCAGATTTTGGTGCAGGAATGGCTGTGTGAGCTGGGGCTCCTCCACTCCTTCAACACTGCTACAGGGCTAGGTCTTTATTCCACAAATAAATGTGACCTGGAAAAATGAACCCATGTTATATAATATACAACTGTCTTCATTTCCAGCTTCTCTCTTATTCTTTACCCTAACACGGGATGTAAAGCACAAGCACAGCAAAGAAGACTTCCACACCCACATATGCTGGGCCTTAGTTCTCCACAGCATGACAGTTTTAAATGCTCTTTCCTCAGACTTTTCCTGTTCTATATCTTGCTGAAGTAGAATAAACTCAGTTATGGTTGTGCCAGATGCCCCAGTGCTAGACAGCAAACATGTACCTTTCCTAAGGAAGCTGGCTCTAGAGAAGGGTCTAGAGAAGGATGGCTGCAAATATGTAAGCAGAGGCTGGGGAAGCACACTGAGGACATGGGAAAAGCCAGTTTAAGTGCGTGTCGGGGTGGAGTGCGAAGACAAGGCCACAGACACCTGCAGTGCTGGGACTCTGAGACCTTCCCATTGTATCCCTACTGTCTGAGCCACATCAGAGGCTTAGGAAATAACCACTGAATGAAATACGAGTACACGAAGGAACAAATGAATGAGTACGAAAGGACTGAATGACGTATCAAGAACCAAAGAGGGAAAGCAACACCGTACAGAAAACAGGGGAGTCCTGCCCTCAATCTGTGCCTAAAACTTGAAATGGTTAAACATCTGAACTAATTAATTGTTCATTTGCAAGGATCTTAGTTTATGTGCCATGCATGAGAACACTTCTAGGCTACTGCTTTTCCTATGAAAAGCAACTCGCAGGAAGAATCTTTGTTGGGGGCTTTCAGGTTACAAAGGCCCAAGGCTGGCTCGTATTTTCTAATGACAGAAATTTCCACCTAAGTGTAAGCTGTGCTTGACAAGTTTCCTCACAATCTAACAATAATCGTAGCTATCACTTATGGAGAGTCTTCTGGGTGCTCAGCTCTCTGTTCAATACTTGTATACACGAATCCTCAACTAACTCTGGGAAATAAGCATTACCTTCCACTTTACAGACCAAGGATTTGAGGTCTTGAGAGGTTAAGTACCTTACTCAGGGTATGGCAGCTACCAGGTCCTGAGGCTAAACCAGGGTATGTGCATAGACCTGTTTGAATCCATCATGCCAATTTGGCTGACTGCCACCTTCAGGCTATTGGTGAGGACCTAGACCATCACAGGGGTGACTGAAGCGGCGCGACTGGCTCCTGTTGTAGACTTCTGGAGATTATGAGATGAAAGACTCATTTTTGGACACGGCTCTTTCTTCCGCTTTTAGTGGACCTCCTGGATGTGTTGCCCATGTGTTTCTCTTTCATCCATGCACTCTGCCACTTGCCAGTGAATCAGGCAGACATTAAAATTCCTGAGGTTAGAATCCAGGGCAATGGTTGCTGGAGAATTTGTAGCAGACCTTCCTGCCTCCCACCTACAGCTTTTACAGATTTGGTTAATATATTCTGAGACTCTCAAGGTGAAATGCAGTAGATTTAAATGATAGGCTGTCTCTGAAAAATGGTCTCCTGAACATTTTTATGAAAACTATGATTTTCCTCCCATCAAAAATACTGTATATATAAAAATTTAAATTAACATTACAGAAAACCTCAGTATATCAAGCTAATTTCCTTTGAGTTATAATACTCTTTAAAAGTAAACCCTTTCCATTGTTAATAGTTAAGCGTATTATATAACTAAAATATTCCATAAAGTTGTAAGAAATAGGTAAAAAAATTAGAAACCCTCTCTCCGATTTCCCACTTGTACCATGAAGCCAAAACTAAACCTGAAATGAAGATAGGAACTCTGGTTTTACAGGGATCAGATTCTCAATATAGTTAGGGAACTCCGGCTCTTCCCTTCCTAGCCCAGATTCTCTGTCCCAGGTTACATGGTATTGTAGGTACAATGTTAACTTTGCTGCCTGTTGATCAGACAAATAGAAAATGAGAATGGGAGCAGAGTAACCTGTCTTGTCCAAAGGGTGGTAGGCAAGGCCAAGGAGGCAGCTTTGGTTTAGACAAAGGAGAGACTAAAGGACCAAAGAAAAAGAAAGCAAAGACAAAGCATCCCTGTGCCTGGCCCTTGAGTGGGAGGGGAGAACAAGAGAATCATGATCAGGGCTGGGCCCACAGGAGTTGCTGCTGGAGGGTAGGGTGTCTTATCCTATTAATTGGTGCAGGATACAAGATTATCGTGCCTCTATCCACACTAGACTGTCCTTGGTTTGAGCACTGAATTGGTGGTATTTTGAAGAACAGCCAATCACAAATGCATCAAACTCTGAAGGACTCCTTCTCAGTCTCAGGAGTCCTTTGGGACATATGTACTTAGCCTTTTAGAAGGCTAGTAGAGAGAAAAGGGAAGGTTGGCCCTAACAACAAAAATAATAAAACAAAACAAAAGCAAAATCAGAAATATGACTGCTTGCGTAGTGTGGTCAGCATCTGAAAAAGTGAGAAATCACCTATCTTTCTCTATAGCAGTTTCTCCAGAGCTCCATGCCCTGGTTACAGGTCCAGGACCAGGGGGAATCTGAATGCAGTGAAGAGCAAGAGGTTCCAGATTTTCAGCACTTGTGGAAGTAAGGGAGTTTCTGTCATTACCAAGTGCTGTTCTGGAGGCCAC